TAAGTGTAGAACCACTAGACTGAGGAACAAGAATAAAAAGAAAGATTACTGTACAGTAGTCCCTTGCTACTTCATGGTTCGACTTTTGCAGACTCGCTCTTTCGGGTTCTTTAGGGGTTTTCAAAGTAAGCGTGGAAATGACACACAATTGGCTGATTGATGGATGAGCCACACAAGCAGCATGGGTTGTTTAATTAAAATAAATCATTTTAAATAATTTAGCACCTGCTTCACCTTTGTGCAGCCCACAGGTGCAGGGAGATGCACCTGCACCGGGTCATGATCTCCGCTCTCTGTCACACGCACATTTCTGCTCCGTACTGCAGCAGCTTTGTGATGTGTTAAACCTTTGTTGTCCAGCTGCACCGATCAACATTTGTCTTCCAACTGTAAATTCTATGTATCATATTGTAAAATTGTTGTAATCACAAAATATAAGTGTTAAAAGTTATTTTAAATTATTTTGTAACTTCTATGTTCAGTTGTTAGTGTAATTGATCTTTCAGCTCCATGCTGCATCAGCTGCGTGAAGGGTTAAACCTTTGCTGTCCTGCTGTACTTCTCTTCTCTTGTACTACTATCCGTACTTTATGGTTTTTGACTTATAGCGGGGGTCCTGAAACCTAGCACCCACGATAAACGAGGAACTACTGTAATGCCACTTTAATTTATATGTGCTGTTGATTGTCCATGCTGCTGATTTCTTGCCTTTATGCTGCTATATTCATGCCCATCTTCTCAATACAGACTTATGTTCGGGCTGCTGTTTAATATACTGTGTATATATATATATATATATATATATATATATATATATATATATATATTAAACCTTTCCCACACTCTTGCAATATTCTAAACAATGTTTCTAAACTCTAAACGCGATAGAGCGAGTTTGCAAAAAACGAACCGCTAAGTAGCGAGGGACTACTGTTCATTAGATCCCTATATACTGTTTCTTTTTATACTTTATATTTTAGCTATTTTGGGGTGTAAATGGGACCTTGATTACACAGTTTCATTACACCTCATGTACCACATGTGATGCGAATAACAATAAAGAGCCTTGGACCTCGGAAGAGTAGCAAAATAAGATAATCAAGTGATGGAAGTGCATCTCCAATTCTGATCCTGTGAGAGATGACGTAGAGTGATCCAGAGATAAAGCAAGGTTATTCAGGGTCAATGTCAGATGTAAGACAGATCATTAAAACTTAGACCTCATCACATCTGCTTATCTGCATGAGGGATCATTTGAGTGGTAAAATATAGATTGAAATAATGGAAGAGTCCCTAACAAGTTATTTTTTCACTTTTTCCAAGTCAAGTTGCATTTTAAATATTATGTCAACATCAGTACGTTTGCTCAGTTCACCACTTTAAATAATCCATCCATCCATTATCTTTTACCCACTTCTTACATTTTGGGTCACGGGGGTCACCAATGCCCAAGTCCAGCAATCACTGTGCGAGGAGTGGGGTACACCCTGGACAGGTCACAAGTCCATCACAGGGCCACTTTAAATAATAATAATTTAAATATTTTTTTAGATACACCATTTTTCAATACTTTGGTATTTAAAATTAAATACAAAAGTCCTATAACCATGCTTATGAACTATAATAAATAAAATGAGACAGGCCCAGTTACACTCATCTGCTCTTGGTCTTTAGTACAAAAGGCTCCAAAATTACAAACAACCCATTATCTACAGAACGTTTGCATTACGAAGTACACTGTATCCAAATTGTCACTGTGAATCTCCTGAAAACCTCCATGGCACGGATGCACAAGGTGTGGGCGACAAAATAAGCATTTTTCCAGGTTCCTATCTTGGTGCCTCCATCTGCCTCCCCTCTGATGAATAATGTAACAAATGGTGAGAGATGTGGGTGGCAGAGAGCGATGGCCTCTCCTCAAAATAGACATGAGTGTAAAAATGTAGAAAGCCTTGAAGATAAATTACAGTAGCAAATGACACATCTATAAAAACTTATTCATGCTTCATGGGCTTTTCTTGGTAGAATTGAAGACGTGGCACCTCTTGCATGAGTGCATGCCACCAGCCACAGTTTATGGAGTTTTAAACTAAGAATATCTTATGTTTCATGTGTTTTTTTTTTAATCAAACCTTCAAAAGAACATTATGCTAAAATCTTAGATATCACAATTACATCATGTGCTGTTAATGACTCAGTTACTACCACAACAAGTTTTACAGTGGCTCAATACGTGCAAAACTCACTGAATTATTTCCACTTTTTTTGCATTCTAAGACAAGTTGACTGTAATCTTCTTAAACTGGATTAGTTCCAAAAGTTAATTGTAGATGTGCATCCAACAATTTCACCACAACGGAGGCATTTACCCATATAGAACGGACAGAGGAAAACAGAACACAAAACCATTATATGGATATAAGTGTTTAATGTACAGTGATTAAATAAACAATTGTATGTACAAGTGGGACACCCTGGAAACCCTGGAAGGGAAGGTGAGTGGTCAGAGGTTGTGAGGAACAGTTAGATATTGCAGCTTGGAGGTTTCTTACGGGAAGTTGGTAGGAGGGCAGTGTAGAGTTCCAGATCCAGGAGGTCCAGCTGAGAGGATTTCAGGTAGAATGTGGAGGCAAGCGATAGGAAAGTGGAGGAGCAGCTGAGGAAGATCCACAAGGAGGACTTGTTACTCACAGGTAAGTACAGGAGTCAAGGATTCAAGGACAGTCAGTTTGGTCCAGGGTAGGAGGCGCAGGAAACAGGTTCAGTGAGAGCACGAGGAGAACACAAGGTAAGATAATTTGACTCAGAGGAATAACACAAGGATGCCGATAGCACAAATACCAGAAGGTAAGTAATGCTCCAGCAAGGAAGGAAGCACTTCTGCAGCCTCTTATATTCCTGGTGGTGATTAGTGGGATGACTGTCAGCTATAGCTTTTTGGCACCGCCTCTGGAACCAACCTGCAGAAAGAACTGGAAACCCTACATATTTCCTGAAAGTTTATTTAAAAGTCATCTAGTGGTTCATGAGATATTTTGCTAACAGATGTCAAATAATAATAATAATAACAAAAAAAAAGAAGAGTTTTCACAGTTTGTCAAAGCTCAGAATATGTGTTAGAGATCAATGTCATCTGCTGCTACCACACACAATCTGTAAAATGAACTGAATTATAGAAAGCCATCACAAACACAGAGATACAGAAATATTATTGTCAACTGGGCAATACTGATAATGAAAACCAAAACACATTTGGCAGAGGAACTGTGGAAGTGTTCATGTAAGGTCATTTTGGTTGAGTAAAAAACAATTAATCAAATTATAAACAGGACTTTTAAGGGGGCAGCATGATGGTGCAGCTGGTAGAGCTGCTGCCTCAGCGAGCAGGTCCCTGGTTCAAATCCTGAATAGGGGCCTTTCTGGGTGAAGTTTGTATGTTTTCTTCGTGCATGTGTGGGTTTTCTCTGGGTACTTCAGTTTCCTCCCACAGACCAAAAACATGCATGTTAGGCTAATTGGTCTGAATTGGCTAAATTGTCCCTAGGTATGAGTGAGAGAGTAAATGGTTGTTTGTCTCGTTTGTCTCTATGTGGCCTTGTGATGAACTTGCGACCTATCCAGGGTGTCCCCCGCCCCTCGCACAGTGATTGCTGATATGGGCACCAGTGACCCACTCAACCTGAAAAGAAAGAAGCAGGTAAAGATAATGGATGGACAGATGGATGGACGGATGGATGGATGGATGGATGGATGGACGGACGGACGGACGGACACGGACGGACGGACGGACGGACGGACAGACGGATGGATGGTTTGATGGATGGATGGATGGATGGATGGATGGATGGATGGATGGATGGAT